TTAATTTTGCTTGCCGGTCTGTCATATCCCCAGATCCATATTTGGCAGTTAATGAGATTGGTATTCCTCCATGTTTTGCACTGAAACTAACTTATCCTGAGGTAAGGGCAGATCAGAATACTTCATAGTTTGAAATATTTGTTTATTATTTATAAAATGTCACATATTAACTTAGATGCTGGAGACTTTACTGGATAGGTACCTTCATAATTGACTAGTACTTGATTGAATTTTTTTTGAAATAAAAGTATAGAAGATATATTGAATAGTACCTGATTGAATTTAAAATATGTTTGATTATATCTTTGTGTAAATGCTTTGAGATTGATGCTACTTGTACAAATTGTTGAACATGGAGTGTCAACATAATGTGTTAAATATTCATTAAAGGACTCAACAAGCTGGTTGTCTTTGGTGGCTGCAATATTGATTTTCTGAAAAAACTTTGTACTGAATTTTAAAGTGGTACTAGCCGATCAAGGCTTAGGAAATTTACCCCTTATTGTTATCAGTGTTTTAGAATGCAAACTTTCAAAATACTCTACGGTGGTGTTAAATGCATCCAAGCAGATATTAAGGTGGCTTGAGTAAATTTTTAACTTTAAACATGGTGAGAATTTTATTGAAATAAAGAATGTGTTTTTCCATTCCTTTTTCTTTTCTCCAAAATCGGCATGATCTGTTAAATGAGCCGTGTGAACTAATCCTGCATGGCTTCCATGTGTAAGATGTTAAGTGTTAGACATTAGAATTAGAGGTCAACAATGGTTTTGGTGAAGTGTGGGCATGAACATGTAACCTGCTCAGTGCTTAATAGTGAAAGACAAAGCTGCCCAAAAAACCTTGTACATCAAATGACAGCATTCGGAACATGCGGAACAAATTGAGGGAAACAAATAGGGACAGATTTTGGTTGTATAATTTTATTAGGTTTGAAAATGAATTTTGAAGTAAAATTCTTTTGAAAAGGGGGAAGAAGAGGAACTTGAATCTAAGGCCTTTGGTTTCTAGGGTTTCTTGTAATGATAAGTGGCAACGGTGGGGCATTCAAGGGTTTCCTGCGACAACGAGTGGCGAGGGACAATGCGTGGGGATGAGTGTGTCAGGAAACCCTAATACAGAGAGAAGGGTAAAAATAGAATTTTTCCTACTGAGTGGCAAACTTGTAATAAACCTGAGTCAGCTAGGGTTAGGGTTGCCGAACCCTAAACCATGCCATCAGATCTTGCAGATTCCAGCCTAATCAGTAAATTCCGTAACCGTCGCTGCAACACGAAACGGCTGCAGATTCCCGGCCATAGAGGCTGCTTGATTTATTTACTTAACACCTATAAAAGACTCTATTTTTTGTTTTGTAATCACGACGAAAAAGAAATAAAACTACTGAGATTTATCTGTTCCTCCTCTCTTTCTTCTTTTTCTTCTTCTTTATCTCAGATCAGTCACCACGTCAAAGGTGTCTGATAGAGTGGCGAGAGGTTGATTCCCCAGGCGAGAGACGACAGTGTGGTGGAGGTGAATCCGACTGGAATGCGGTGGTTTTCAGGCAACAATGGTGTTGGTGGCTGTGAGCGATAGTGTTAGTGGCAAGAAATGTAAATGGGCCATGTGGGCTGGATCCGGGAAAGGGCCAAAAGATTGGGTTATTGGTTGAAATGGGTCTGACAACTTGTTACCTAGACGGTTTCGAAAGTACCCGTGATTGAAACAGGTAAAGAGAAGGCGTATCTGGACTCCGGAGATCCGACAGCCGTGGAGAAGCTTGGGTCAGATTTGAGGTTGAGAAGGAGTCTTTGTTGATGAATATGAAACTCTCCTGAATTCACTTGCCTTTGTATCCTTGAATGGGAGTGATGACCAACCAGTTTAGAGCCTCAGCTCTATAACTTCATGATTAGGACTTCTATAATTTTCTAACCAGGACTGATCTCATTGAGACCAAGTTCCCTTATCTGTAAATCTGGAAGGTACATGCCTCTCATAGAGTAGCCTTCTTCACTTGGGAGGCTGGGCGAGATTATGTTCTCACTATCGACAAGTTAATAATGAGGGGCAATATGATGAATGGTTGTTTTCTTTGTAGGAGGTTAGAAGAGACTTGTAATCGTGTTTATTTGGGTGTCCAATCTTGTACAACCTTTGGACTATGACTTACGGGTTCCTGGGATTAGTTGGGTTATGATGGTATGGTAAAGGAGGATATATGGACCTACAAGGGTAGTTGTGGTGGAAAAAGACGTGTGGCTCTACTCCCCTTGCTATTTTTTGGATTGTGTGGAAAGAAAGAAATAGGAGGGCTTTCGATAGGGTGGAGAAGGATATTATAGATAGAGTTAGAAACAGGTGGTTCCAGACTTTGGGTTTTTTAGTTATAAGTCATCCTCTATATCCTTTGCAGAATTTCAGGGATCATATTGACATTTTTGATTGTCATGTCAATAATTTTGTATACTGGTTGGCACCCCTTAGGTGGTTCTATTTAATGACATATACTATTTGTTATTTCAGAAAAAAAAGTAAGATTCTCTTGAGAGTAGTGGGAATAAACTTTACCAAGTTATTAATTGCCAAAAAAGTGTTAAGAACAAAGATGTGGTACTTTTTCCTTACTATAGAAAGCAAATTTTCTTGATTAATTATATTCATATCAATAAGGCTTAGACTCAAAAGTTCTAGAAGCATATGATGTAAAAATGCTTTGCTAGCTTCACAAAGGGTTAAATGCCTTGCCTTTGAAAACATTGATTATTAGCTTATTTAATTTTAGTAGATTGTAGTGGTACTTTAATTTCCCTTTAAAAATATCTACGAGCTTTCATGGCTCTGGGTTTTGTTGATTGCACTTATATCCTTGGAATGTCAGTTTTTGACAATGTAGCATGCGAAGTTGTTGTCCACATAAACTTCAGGCACATCTAAGGCAATCTACTCTTGCACGTTTGTGCTCTTTTTTTTTTTTTAAAATATTCCTGATATTCTGGAGTTTAGTTTGTGGATTCTGACTATTTACCAATAGATATCCTAACTTCTAATATAAGATTTTTTCTATTATCATCTGTTACTAGGATTGCTTGTATGGCTGAGTCTCACTCCTCGAATCCGGAACATGGAGGGAAGCTGAAACGAAAAATGAATGGAAAATCACGGTGCAACACCAATAAAATTTAAGTTCACCTTTAAAGTT